AAGTAGTGGTTTTTCCTTTTTTGAAGGTAAAACATCTTAAGCAGCGCTATTAACAAAATTATAATATTAGTAGGTGGAGTTGGCGTCTGAAATAAAACAAATCACCCAACCTTTGCCTTTAAAAAACATATATTTTAAATGTTCAAATCAGAACAAAATTTGAAGGTTGAATTGGGTTTTGTCATCCTTAAAATATATATAAAAATTTTCAAAATTAAAAGATTTGAACTTTAAACTTCTCTAAAAAAGAATAATAAACATAAAATTAACTTTAATTACTAGTATAGATAATATATTTTCCTAGAAAGAAAATAGAAAAAAAAATCAATTTGCAACGAAGGTAAAATCAAACAATTGAAAGCAAAAAACGATTAAATAAAGCTCTGAAAAAGTCAAAAATACTCTCAGCAAAGTCGACAAAATCGAGGGACGAAATATATGAAGGACTTGGAGGAGATGCTACTACATCAAGCGGCCGAAAACCATCGAGCATACATAGCTGAGAAAAAAACCCTTTCTGAAAATATCAAAACCACCGCAGACATGCAACTATTACACATGGGTAAAAAATTGAAGAACCAAAACAGGGCAACACACCAGCCAAACTTTTTCTTTCCCAAACCCAACATCTGACCCAAGGCTGAAAGCTTTTTCTTTCCCAAGACACAATCCAATGCACATTTTTTTTCCCTCCAAATGCAAACACAAGAAAAAAAAAAAAAGGAGATCAACCAATCATGGAATCTAAGCTTTGACCCAAGCACGCCAAGGAAGATTAGTATTGATTTGGTGAGAAATACAGTGTGCTTGTTTTATATAGAAATTGAGTATTAAAAAATGGTGAAGACACTAGCACATTGGATTTATACGCAGAAGTGATGCTTTGTTGGGTCATGGGGAAAATCAAACTCCATCCCATGATGTAAGCCTATTTTGCCCATAATCAATGCACAACATGCCAAAAAAATTACCGAAAATGGAAACTTTGTGAATTGTTCTTACCGCCACATGTTAGCTAGAAACACTCAAGACATGCCGCTCAAAGGGGTAAAATATAGGTGACTACAGGTGGAAGCTCTATTGGAGCTTCCGTTTGCTTGTACTAGACTATGGCCCGTGCGTTGCACATTGATCTCTTTCTACTTGTTTTTTCCCTTTCTCTTTTTACCTCTAGTTTTATCTTTTTTCAATACGTTTTTTTTCTTCTATGGTTCACGTGGCTAGAGGAGGAAGCCCTTTTGAAGTTTCTTTTTACTTATGTAATGGATTGGTAAATCAGAAGAGCAAAATCTCGAGAACAACTACGGCCTTTCCTAATAGCATTTGTACAGTCCTGTCCTAAGCCTAGCAGCCCCACCCCACAGGATTATTGAAACGTAAGCAGTACTGTCACATAAAGGATTGCCTGCAAAAATCAATAGCCAACTAAGCTCCCAGGCTAAACAGTATTCCCCTCTTCATTTTTGATCAATCCTTTACAAGCAATCTGGGCACTGATGGAAATGAGATTGCAAAGTAAACGGTTGAATATTGACAATCAAATTACATTCATTACTGGATTTACATTATTTAATTTCTGATATAGTTTTACGTAATTGTACTAAAATTAAAAGGGAAGCAAATTGACCCTAATTATTTTGAGGTACAATATAACCTTTTTTTTTCACCTTATTGGATATCTAGTCATTGGTTTATTTAAAATCTCCTAGTATTTGATTTTGCCTTCCAATTTCATATTTAGTCTTGATTTTTGATCTCACAGACTTAGTTTCAAGAGAGTTACTATGAAAATCACAACTACGGAATCCTAACTTATAATAAATAAAGAGGAATTATTTTAAATATTTGACTTGAGTAAATTAATTTTGTTTTCTAATAAATCTGACTTGAGTTGAAATTTTGCGATTATGATTAAATCATGTTAAAGATAATGTGGTAACCCTCACATAACCAAGTCCATAGGATCAAAACTCAGCCTTGCTCTGCTTTGTGTCCTCAACATACCTGAATTAATGCTATGGTAAAGTGATGTATGCTGAGTTAACCTTGAATTAATGCTATGGTAGAGTAATTTATGCTGGTATGCTGAGTTAAACTTGAATTAATGCTATGGTAGAGTAACGTATGCTGGGTCAAACTTGAATTGCTGGTATGGTGAAGTGATGTATGCTGAGTTAAAACTTGAATAAAATGGCATGGTAGAGTGATGTATGCTGAGTTAAAGTTGAATTAATGGTATGGTATAGTGTATGCTGGTTTTTGTTGATACCATATCCTACCCTTTGCCTAATGAGAGAAGAGGGGCAGTAATTGCTAAATATTATAAAAGTAAAAGATACTGCTACGAGGCATCAATGTTGGAAATTAGCACCATCATCTCTGAATGCTGCAAATTGTGTTTTAGAAAAGGTAATGCTGCAGATTGTTAAATGTTGTTCTTCCTTTCATCCCACCCAAATTTGTCACTTTTTTACTTTTAAAAGAAAATAAATAAACAGGTTTATAATGGATTTCTCATCTTTTTCCCCTAAGCATAGCCACTTGAAAATAATTGAATGCATACTTTTTCTTTAAGTGACCAGAAAATATAAAGCTCTATACGCAAGTATTATATATTTACTGTGTGAGAAGCCAACAAGCATGGAGGAATTATATAGATTACAAATCCAGAACCTGTTTCAATGGGAGGTATATGAGAGCCAGCCAGCAAACTTCCCTAGTGAGGAAGGAACAATGATGCATCAAAAAGCACAAGCAAAAAGGAAAGTTATCCTTGACTTTTCATGGTTAAAAACAGGTTTGTTTGGTCAGAGCTTTCTCCACATTATACAACATTGGTGAGAAACAATTGCCTCTGATAACCTCCCCTAAAGTCTGAACTATGTATTCTCAATAGTACAAACTAACATTACTTCACACTCCCCCTGTTAGTGGATGATTCCCCCATCCCCTTCATCAAGCAGGGACCAAAGTACTACACATCAAGAATTTGGCAGTGCCAAACCAAAAATATACAGCCTTCAGAATCATGTCTTGCTCAGATCTCTGTATCCAAATGCCAACAAAACCTAATGAAGTTTACAACCTACCAAAATATATCTTGTTTCCCAGCCGAAAAAATGAAGTGAAAATAAGTTGTTACTCTTGAGTTACCCATACAAAATCAAATGCATTTACCATGAAATTTGAATCTCCTCATGTCCTCCAAACGCAAGGCTCTTTCTAACTCTTCATCTGTATGGCAGCCAACTTCTCCTCGAAACTTAGAGTATTAGCTGCAGTTAGAAGCATGTCCACTCCACCTCTACTTTTATCTGACTCCTCTCCGTGTTTTTGATTCATACTCATTCCCAGATTATCATATGCCATTTTGCCTCCTATGCCTTTCATTTTCAGCTTATTTTCCATATTCTGATATGCTCTTTTAGCTCTGCGTATTCGCTGGATCCCGGCATCACATTTTCTGCAAAACCACTTCCCTCTTGGAATTGAAGTTCGTGGTGGTTTCATGCAATAAATGTGGTAAGCAGCATCACAGCCATCACATAAAACAATCTTATCATCATCTTTGTCAATGAGGCAATTTCTACACAGACAAGAAGGGCAGTACCAGTGGGAACAATATGATTTTAACTGCTTCATTGTCAGGCACCTCATATGATAATATTTACTGGGGCAGTAGGGATGCTCACAACTCCTTAACTTCTGACCTTTTTCAACACCACCTCCACAAATTTTACAAACACACGGGTGTCTGTTCCCTGGTGATAACTGAAGCCCATTATCGACACTACAGTTTGAATGTTCCTCCAATTCAGTAAATATTTTACAATTTGCATTATGATTTTCATCAGTAACAAGAGTCCTGCAGGCATTCAATCTCTCACATATCACACAGTTCTCATGTGGAGATCCCATTCCATTAGCAGTACAGCTGGTACAATACCAACTTCTTGGAGGAATCTCCTTCACAGCAGGCTCAATACAGGCAACATGGTACATTTCCTCACATGAATCACAAACCAAACAATCCTTCCCATCTGCCTTCTCCCCACAATGCCTGCAAGTGCAAACTTTATACACACCACAAGCTTCAGTTTGCTCCAGTTTAGCAAGAGACACTGGTTCCCGAGTACAGAACTGTTTTTCATTGAACAAAATTCAGAACATTTCTCACAGATGAATTCAACTTTCAAAGCACTTTCTTATTATATAAATAGAGATCTCTTGCATGTAATACAAATGAAAAGCTAAAGAAACAGTTCAGGTCAGAATCATCCTCACAGCCTTAAAAATCAAGACGCTCTACAAATACTAATATTCAGATATCCCTCGAGATGCTCTACAAATAATAAATTCAAATACCCATCAAGATGCTCTACAAATACTATATTCAAATAGCAAAGCAGGAGAACAGAATATGACTACTAGATACCAGCAGGAAACTCCCTGATCACACCAAATCATATCAATACAAGTAGGATAGAAGGCAACCAACTACCCAGCACCACAGACAGAAAGGTTTACTAAAGTTTCCACACCATTAGAGTGTTTAAAGAAGAAAACTAAAGTGACAGTGGCCCAGTTGAAAAGTTTTTAAGTCCCATAATGAAGAAGAAAATATCTATACTTGAGAACCCTAAAACACACCCATCAATTTTATACAATGTAAGACTTCCATTGAAATTAGTCAACACGTAAGAGCAGTGAAATTTCAAAGTCTTATCCTAAATCAACTTTATCCAAACTCTGAAGCAGCAAATGCACCCTAAACTACCTAATACAGTTCTTTCTTTTTTATACTAACTGCCTCATACGGTTATATAACTAAAATTTGAGGATAGGGTTATTCATTCTGCTGACACAAGCATGCCAATGCATACTATAATTTAATTAATGAATGTTTACCTCATGTTTCTCCTTTTCAACAGCACCACGAGAACACCCAACCTCAAAGGGTGAAGAAAAAGCATCACAAACAAATTATAACATGATATTCATTATCAATGTAATAAATTTTATAAGCAAATTATAAAATTCAACATGCTAGAGTAGCACAGTGCATGTTCAGTAACTCACTTGTTCACTATAGGAACTGCTTGATATGTTTGAGAGGCTCTTTGCAAGGGATACAATTTCAGTTCCTATGTCTTGAAGTTTTCTCCATACCTACAGGAGTCATTTAGGTAAGATAAATACATATATAATAAGTGATGACAAAAAGAACTGGCTCTGCTACATGGAACAAGCATTTCTTATTTTTTGTTTTTTTTGGGTACTTCGCAAGCATTCTTATTAGTTTAGAAAACGCATCAAAATTTGGATTAACATTGTAGCATGTATATCAATATAAATTATATTCCACTGCTTTGAGAATCCTGTAAAAAGACACATAATTATTAATGGGAAAAAAAAACAAATCGAATAAGAAGGTTTGAGAACAACTTAAGAATGACATAGATTGTCTGAAGATTGCAATTTAATTCTGGTGAAGCACAGGGAAAAATTGACTAATCTATGCAGGAAGAGAGAATGAACTGCAAGGGTATCAGGTATCCATAAGAGATGTAATAAGTTAAGTTCTTCAGAGATGTGCAACTTAGGTCTAGTGAAGAACAGGAACAGAGAATTGTTTGACACACAAAGAAAGAATGAAAACTAAGGGTGTCATAAGAGATGTCATGGGGACTTAACATCTACCATTGGTTTCAAAATGTATGGCCCTAAACCTAGCATAATAGGATTAATGTAGCTTGTGCATGTCTATTGCATTGAATCCTCAGCAAATGAAGGAAAAGCCAAGTACCCTATATTTTTCAGAAAAGCAAGAGAGAATGTGAACAAATGCACCATGTATACATAAGCATAATCTACTAGAAACAAGAGAGAATATCAAACATCAATTCTACTGAGTAATTAGACCTTATGCAGACAATGGGAATCAACAACATTTCACTTTCTTTCAGAAAGATAAAATAAACAACTTTAAGCATTCTTTCTTATTAAGGCCTCCAGGTCTTAGCAATCAACATGATTTGCAATTCCTAGGGTCTAATCCTCCAGCTAAGCTCCTTACAACTCTCAACACAGTTAGATAAATTAAACTAAAAGCAGTATTTTAACCGTACAGAAGCAAGTTGATTCATGTTGTAGGAATGACAAGAACTAAGAGAGCCTAAAATGAGAAAATGATGATTGTTAAGGTAAGTCAACTGTCATCGTTGAGGTAGCTCAGGTTCAAATGCCTAGTTGACCAAGTGGAGATTGAATCAGACTCCTTGAAATCCGTTCTAATGATCAAGCAAAAATCGACTCTTCCCTATCATAAAAGCCTTCACAGACCTCCTAAACACCAGCCACTCCAGGAGACTCTCCTATATTACAAGGCAGAAAAATTTTATTGCAGACTGGCTTACTAATGGAATCCTGACACAGCCAAGAGGAGTTCAAGTATACCAAATTCCTGAGGACCTGAGGTCTCTTTCTATTAGTAGGCATACTAGGTATAAGTTATCCTAGATTAGTTTACTTGCTGCTGTTAAGGGCCGTTGGCCTTCCTATGTTAAAAAAGCCTTGTGGGTAAACTCTGTATGGAAAACAGTGGTAAGATAATTCTGATCATTCTACTTTTATCTATAGTTAAAACAAGGGCTCATCATCAATGTACTTACAATAGTAACAGAGTGCCTTTGAAAAACTAAAAGGTCCTCTAATTTGAGACTTCAATCTGGACAGGGTTAGTAAAAAGCCTATGTTAGTAAATAGCAGATTCTCAGATCATTCAAAGAATACAATACTCTGAAAAACGAAGACACCACGATAAGAAGATATACGACCCTACTGACCTAAGAATTCATCTAAAGTCCCACATCCATCCATGCTCTCAATATTTCCGTGGTTGTACACACCAATCTAAAACAAATGAGTGGTAGATGAAGTGTACATCTTCACTGTTAGTAATATACTATAGAAAGAAACAACAAGCACGTAAGTTGCTTGGAACAAATTAAGCAATCATAGAATCTAACAACATCTAGCTCCCACAATGTAACAAAACAAAAGCTCCAAATGTAACCTAAAATTGAGCTTATAATTTTAATCTTTCGAAGATTTTAAGAATACTAAATAGAAGAGAAATTCAGATTTATAAGAAGTCTTCCTGGTTTTCAACTTCCTTTATTTCTTTCTCCTTCCTAAAACTTCCAGAGTCCCAAGAATAGCCCTTCGCTCTTTAGCTCTCTCCCTTGCAGAGTATACCATGTGTGTATGTGGAGGTTAAAAAGAAGGTTGAATGAATTCAGGTGTTTTCCTCAATCATCATGAGAAATACAGGATAAGAAATCACATAATTATGTATGACTTAGATGGAAATATATCTAACTTAAAGCTCTTGGCACAAGAGTCAACTTACTATCTAACACCTAGGCTGTCAGTGGAACATTTTTATCTTTAAACTAAGCAAGTTCAGTCAAGCAACGCATGCAAATAAAAATGGTTACATAAATTACCTGCTGAATATCTGATGAGAAAAGCATAGGCGATCGCTCATAAACTCCATTTTTCATCCTCGAATTTATGACACTTAAGTGAAAAAGGCTGTCAACCTTGATCCCTTGGAAATTGTCAAATAGTAGCTTACACAAAGATGTGAACTTTTCAGAAATTATGACATCAAAGAAAACACGCTGGCACATCTCAGTGGTAGTTTGAGGATTTTCTTTTAAAGACCCATTAGATATCACACCCTCCAGCCCCTCAGCTGTATGCTTACTTCCATTAGGAATTCGCCCTGCTTGCAAAGAGCATTTCAGTCTATCTTCGTGAGAAGTGTCAGGTTCCTGTAGAAGAATCAGAAAAACAACAATTCCAATATATCATAAAGAAAATGGACAAGAAAAATGATCACTGCAAGCCATCATAGACCTTACAGGGTTTGGATAACAGCACAAACCTTAACTGTCACATTACAACCATTTTCTGGATGAAATAAAAGTGCATCTCGAATGCAACGCTGTATACCACCTTCATCACCACTTAATAACTGATGCATGTGCTCCAATACAACATTTCTCCACTGCCTCTGTATACGATCATTTGAAGCATTCAAAGAAGCACAATGATCTATCTCAGGAAGAGGGACCTGCACATAATAATTAGCATCCATTAGTATGCTGAACTGTACTTTTACAGTCTGTAAGAAACCAAATGTTCTTTGCATTAAAGAACAACAAAGACCAGAACATGTCAGCACAAACAGAACATTTGGGCAATTACAGTAAAAAAGTACATCTTTCACCGATTCAATTAGACAAATCACAATGTGAAAGAAGAAATACACCTAGCAGTAGTTGAACCAGATGAATCATAGACCTACACATATGTTATAAATTAAATGTACAAATCAGTTAACCATACCAGCCCCCTAAACTTTGAATGTGCAAAAGCACTTGAGAGTAGAACAATTACGCCCATTAATATAACAAAAAAGGAAAATAAAATCTTAAGTTCAAACAACTCCTGTCCATCTTGTCCTAACAATCAAGATTTCCCTCACTAATTCTCTTACAATTCTGACCCTAATGAAGGAAATGCCAGCTTCACAGTCATAAGATCTAGCAGCCACATGTAAAATGATTTTTCCCGAAGGAATCAGACATAAGTCACATACAGAAGAAAAAATTCAACAGCACATCCAATACAAACTTACAATACTCTTAATTACTCAAAATGCCATATACCAACCAAAAATCAATAAAATAACATCAAATGGTAAATCAACAAAATCCATTGCATAGTGTCAATTGCACTGTTAAAGAACAGATGCAAATATGTATGTTTGTGTACCACAGTCAGATGGCAAAAATTATCAAATCTTGCTTTCGAATTTTCAGCATCCATGTGTTCAACAGCAGGGTGGCGTGTACTACCATATCTTACCTCACTAAATTCAAAAGCTTCTCCTTATTTATTATCCATTAGTTACCTAAAGGTGGCTAGCAGTCATAATACAGGAATTTGGTCATGCTCTGTGACTTATTTCCAATGCAGGAGGAAGAGATATTTTCTCATAAAACATATGAGATACATAAGCAATAAAAACATTAAACTTGTCAAAAAGACTATCACTATCAAATTATCCTTGTGATGCGGATTAAAATTGTCAATTACATCGGCTCCTCTTCATCCCAAAAATATGAAAGAAATACACTCTGAATGTGAACATAAGAGAAGTTTTGACATATTTATGTCTGGTGCTGTAACCTTCGTACGAGCATCTTGATGAAGCCTTAGAGAACTATACATGAGGCCAATTTTTAAGAATATTTGTAGAATCAATTTCTCTTGCAAACAGTTTCTAAAATCTCATTGCTCAATGGAAAAAAGATTTAGAAAAGAATCACCTTCACTCAACCATCAAAGCCACCCCAAAAACCACACGGCTTTTCAAATTCCATCATCAAGTAACAACTATTCATTGTTGTAAATTTCTTGACATCAGAAACTTGCATATTTATGTCATACTATGCACGCTAGTTTTAAAGTTAATCCAATAGCTTGAGCTTGTATTTTATGTACCCAATGACCCAATCTGATCTTCTCCTCATAGGATAGTCTACATGCAGAGCATTCCATATGATTGCACACAAGTTACTATTTGTCATCCACAATCCAAAGCTACCACAACTAAGATCTTAAACTCAAAGGCAACAACAAATCTTGAAACATGAATTGGTAAACAAAAACATAGTAACCACATCTCAACATTTAACTAGTACAACAAAGAAAAATAGTTAACATCTACAACTCCAAGCATACATTAGACACATAACACATTTATAGAAACCTACCTGGTCTGTGGAAGCCCTTCCATCAACCTGCACTTTGACCTTTGAACTTGACCTTAACTGTCTCCGCCTCTTATATGTTCGAAAATTCTCACTTGCCCCTGAACTCCCATCACCAGAATCATTCACAAATTCAAATCCAAACCCATTATTCACTGGTTCACTCTTGAAGCACTGAACCACCTTTCCACACTCTGCTCCTTCACCATTGCTTGTCCCCTCCTCAACAACCATCTTCAGAATTCCCAAAACAGAACAAAACCCTAGTTTTTCAAGCATTTCGCCACAAAGTTAGGGTTTCACTGTAATAAACCAGCATTATCTTTCAAATTCACATAGACTATCCCATTAACACTTTGAAATTCATCCCATTAAACAAAAAATCCAAGAAAAAGCAGTAAGAACCCTCCATTAGGCAGCTGGAAAACAAAGGAAAAAACAAAGAGAAAATTGAACTCCAAACAAACCATCCCCTGCCCTTCAGCTCCACGACAAACGAGGAACACAAAAACTTTCGACCAAATTAAGCTAAGTAATTGAACTAAAATCCACTATTTACTAAATTTTTGACCATTTTAATCTTAAAAGTTAAGAATTCAAACTATTTAACAACTCTGTTTCTCTCTTTCTTTTTCCCCCGCTACATTTTCTCGAGTAGCAAACAAGATATAACAAAAGAAAACAAATTCTGAAGAGAAAAATTAAAATGAGAAAAGAAGAGAGAAGAATAAAGAAGCTTCACCTGAAATGAAAATTGAAATTGAAACTCTGAAAAAATCGAAAACTCTTTTTTGAAACTTTGGCTTTGGTCTGCAACTTCTCGTCTTATCCGTGTTTTCTTTATTAAAAGAAAAAAAAATACTTTGAAACTAAATGACTACACAAGAGTTTTAGTTTACCATTCTTTGTAGTTCAGTTTGTTTAGTTGGGTCGGATCTAAGACGGGATGATTCCGGTTGACAGTGGGGAGAAACTGACAGGTGGCGGTTGTTTTGGGACAAAAACCGTAAACTAAATCGCAAACAGTCAATTCAAGTCAATTTGTGGGATTTCGCTCTTCTCACGTACTTTGTGCCCACAAAAATCGTTTATTTACATATCATCACTGCTTTTTGTCCAATCTAATATATTTTCTCAACTCTAAAAAAAATTTAAACAAATTTTTATTTTTTTATTACTTATTTTATTATGAATTAAATAAATTCTAATAAATATCAAATGAGTAATTATTTTTAATAAAAAATATCATTTATCTTTTTTATGTCATGTGATAAATTAAATATTATATTGAATAATGACATGATATAATAATATGATCACATGATAATTTTTACATGTGTATAAAAATGATAGATATCATTTTTACTAATGACAATTAATCAATTATTAGTTTTAAAAGATTTATTTGATCAAAAATAAAAATAGTAAAAGTTGATTAGATATAATAAAATAACAAAAATTTATTTAAATTTATATAATTTAATAGTGTAAATTAAGACATTGTGTTAAAACCAATTATCTTGTATTATTTTGTAAATAATCATTTGATATAGTAATTAAAAAATCTAGTCATGCTACTTAAGGTCACTAGCTCTCAAGTTTAGTATTAACAAAATTTAACCTTCATTTTCCTTATTGCTATTCAAATTACTAAAAAATTGATTACGATTAAATTAAACATATGACTGACTCAAGAATTAGCTTAAAAGAAGTTGAATTACTAGATTTTGATTATAACCCTAAATGGGCACCAACCATTTTGTATTATTGAATTTAATTATTATTTCACTTTTACACGCACCGTATTAGTAAATATTGATTCTCAATATATTAAAATGCAAAAATATATGTTTAAATTAGTGCTCATGAATTCATAAATCTCTTACATATATTTGATAACTTTTATTAATTATATTGTTTTTAATTTTAATAGTGTTGAATAATTTATAAATTAATAGTATATAATTTTAATTGTTTGTGCAAACTATATACTCTGAAAATATTTATATTTATTATTAAAAAAGAATAAATACTCAAGTCTACATGCAAGATTTTGTTTCCTTAGAAAGGGGCACAAAGGTATGGGCAGGAGTCGTGCAAGAAGGAAGAAGAGGCATGATCAAGGTGGAACAAACTGAATTAGGAGAACTCGCTAGTCGCTACATATGCCTTTGAAAATATTTCAACAGGGTTGCTACTTGCTAAGTCAAGTTTTTTAATATTAATAAATACGAATTACTATGGAGAAGGAAGGAATTAAAAAGAACAATGTGAACGTAATATTAGAAGCGAAAAAGCAGGCAGTAGCAAAAGCCTTACTTTTCTTCCTAGAGGGCCACAAGCTAAAACCAAAATGCGAAGGCACCGGTGCCACCAGGCGGTCCGATCCGAGTCCGAGACGGAGAGCGAGACCGACACCGAGACCATGCGGTGCATATCGTGCAAGGAAGAGTACGGAGCACGTGACGCCGGCACGTGCAAGGAGTGCTACGAGGAGGCCAGCGAGACCGAGGAAGAGCTCAAGCGAGAGATCGAAGATCTCAAAGCCAAAGTCACCTTTTTACGCTTTTGGTCTCCGCTCGATCATGCCCACCGTGGCTCCACCTCGCCTGGTCCCTTCTTCCCCGACGTCGTCTTGGTCGCTTCCGGTGATGGATCCCCGGGCTTGCCCCCTGTGCCTGTACCCGCCCATAAAGCCGTTTTGGTACTACCGATTTGCTTGAATTTCTTGTCTACTTGTTTTATTTTAGGTAAAATGTAAAATATTTGAAGTTCTAATGTACAAAAAGTGCGACCCAAACTTCAATTTGTGGATTACTTTTGGCAAAATTGTTTCGATTAACTAAAATGAAGCTTTGGTTTGGAACTTTGGCTCTTAGTACTCAGGAACTCATTTTCAGATTTTACAGATACCTAAACAGCGAAAGCTGCTTGAAACAACTGAGCCAAAGAGGCACGTTGTATTGTTCTATATACCCAAATTAGAAACTGTGTTGTTAGGAAGGATTATTTGTTTTTTTTTTTTTTGAAGTATTTACTAACATTTTGATGTCAAAACAGGCGAGTCGTTCACCAGTGTTCAAAGCAATGCTTGAGAATGAGATGGAAGAAAGCAGGAGCGGAACCATCAAGATCGCTGACGTATCGTATGATGCTCTCCGTGCGTTTGTAAACTATTTGTACACAGCGGAAGCATGGCTGGATGAGCAAATGGCTTGTGACCTTCTGGTCTTGGCTGAAAAATACCAGGTGAAGCATCTCAAGGGGTATTGCGAGAAGTTCCTGGTATCCAAATTGAACTGGGATAATTCACTTATGAGCTATGCCTTTGCTCACCAGCACAACGCCAAGCTCGTGCTTGATGCAGCTTTGTGTTTGATAACAGACAACATGGATAAGCTTACGAAAAGGGAAGAGTATATGGAACTCGTGGAAAAGGATCCCCGACTTGTTGTGGAGATTTATGAAGCTTATCTCTCCAAACAGGTCAATACTGCTGCTCATAAGGATAGTTCAATGAAATCATAGTCAACTCTGATCAAGGATTGTTTGTTCATCATTTGAATAATGAGGTTTCAGTCATTGTTGGTGGATGAACTTTTACTATATAAAAGAAGAAAAAGTTTGATGATCCTCCTTTGCTGGGAGAAATCTGTATTCCAATGGAACCATACATACTATTCAGCATTGTCCTTTCTTATCACAAAAATGTTTTGGCAAAACTGTGGTGAGTTCTGCATGATTTGGGATCATTTTCCAGATGACAATAATGAACTGGGTTTTAGTCTTTCATAAGCTTAACAGTGTGGCCTCTATTGCATTTACAAGGATTTTATGTCTTTGCTTTTAGGTAGCATTTGTTGTGCTTCCACATTCTTTGCAATGTATATAATTAGATTACATTGTAGTTTTTTGTAGCTTTTGTTTCAATACGTGATGTAATAAGATTGCAATGTAATTACATTATTAATCAGAAAAGGTATAAGGATGTGATTGTATTGAAAAATCAATGTAATCTCGTTACTAACTACTTTGCAATGCCTTGAAACTTGATTTGATATTTTTCATCCTTCTTAATCAATAAAATCTTCAAACTTAATTTTCATCACTTTAAAAAGAACTTAAAAAATTAGAAATAATTTTAAAATTTTGAAAAAAAAAAATCTATAAATCTTGAAAAATATAAAAATAATTTTTTATTTTTTAGAAATTTTAGAAAAACCCAAAAATAATTTTTAATTATTAAAAAAAGTATAGAACAATAAAAAATAAAATTTATTTTTTAGAAATTAAAAAAAGATAAGAAAATCCAGAAAATAAAAAATATATTTAAAATTTTTGAAAAAAAATAGAAGATATTCTTTTTTATACTCATAATTTTTTAAAATCATAAAAATTATTTTCTTTTTATAATTTTTAATAAACTTTTAAAAATATTTTTTTTACTCAGTTTTTTCAAAAAATCACTTTTGGCTTTTTTTTTAATTTTTCAAAAAAAGAAATATTTCCATTTTAATTTTTTAGGAATTTTGCAAAATAATAATGATAAAAATATACTGTAAAACATTCAAAATTACTAACAAATAAAAAATTATTTTTTAATTAATATTAAAATGAATTTGTCCTATCTAATACTTGGTTATTTGTTAGGAGAATGCTGACTGTAATTTATTGTTGGTGAAAATCAATTTTGATGTTTATTTTTTATTAAGCTTTCGGGCAGTTCATTTCTATATTTTATGATTTTTTTATTGTGGTGTTTTATGATGGGTAAGTTTTGCACTTCGAGATTGTTTCTCATTTGTGTAGCAAATTGCTTGATCATTTGATGTATATCATTTACTTTTCAATTGATAATTGAAGTTCAACCAATAAGGAAGCATTATAACATAATTTATTCCTAAGTTTGATAGTCAAATTTCTATAAGATTTTTTTTCGTTTATGTCATATATAAACTAAGTTTGTATTATAATAAATAAAAATAAAATATAAGATTATAATAAAAAAATAAAAATAAAATATATAAAATTAAAAATTTATTTAAGAGATGATATCATATAAAATTTACAATAAAAAAACATATAAGTACATTAAACTTGAATTCTAAATGTTTCAATTGAAACGTGGAGTACGATTCTCCAGGGAGATAAAAGGTTGCAGCAAGAAAATTTACTCATGGCAAATTGCTAATGTACAAATTGCCAAAGGGAAAAAAAATGTACCATAGGTTTAACCAAATACAGCATATTGACCCGTGGCCTATCCTATTGACATGTTAGGTACTATCGTAAATCAATAGATTACACTAAATTATATAGAATAATGAGCGTCTGTCTTTTTTTTTTTTTTTTTTCTCTTTATAGATTGGCAGCTTATTCCTAAGTTAGACTTTGTATATCCAAAATGGGGGCAAGATAGCTGGTAAAGCATGGTTTCAGTGATTTTCATCCAACAATCCCATCACATACGTTTCTCAGAGATTAAAATTTTCCAGCTTGCATGTGGACCTTCACCTGTATCGTGTAGTGCATGCACCCATCCCAATGCAGTTGCTATTTCCTGAAGTTCACCCATAACAGATACTGAATCCCGTATATATACGCGTCCACCAGGTCTCAGCATCCGGTCCATCTCAAGCATGATGGTTGAGATATTACACCTACATCAACCAGATAAAAAACATGATAAACTGTATCTGAAGAATGTGCATTAACAAGAACTAAGGCACGAGCAAGAAAAAGGATGAATAATACCTCTTCTGCTCAACAGGGAAAAGACCTGCTGCATGCAATAGGTCATATGTTCTCGGATAAGTATCAAATGGCTCACACCTGAGCAAAAATTGACAACTATGAGTAATAATCAAGCAAGAGGTATATAAAATCATATGTGGAAGTTCTACAGATGAGCTTGAAATTAAGAAACCGCCAGTTATGAATGAACAACTGCAAATGAACCAATGGAAGAGAGTGCAAATTTCAACCAACCATGACAGAACTAGCAGTTGTGAAAGTGTGCAAGCATTATTACTTGGATTTCGATGTTGCGGCTATTCTCTTACGTTCTTAACCTACAAATCAAAAGGTCCAAGGTTTCTCATGTTTTTTTACTAAACTCTATAAGCTGCTTGCTCATGCTTGACTTGATTCAAGACTCATCCTGATTCATGCTAATTTACTGAACATGCTAAGACGATTAGTTGAGCCCAGATTATGCCTCAAGCCAAACCTCAAAGAAGCTCAGTTTTTAGGGAATCTATGAATTTAACTTCAAATATTGGTGAGAGAGGAAAGGTTTTGTCTTGCTCAAACCAAACATGATGGCTTTCACAAAATACATCTGAGTAGAAATTTTGCTAATGACATCAAATGGAGACCCTTTTCTCAGTCAGATAATTTTTAACTTATTAACCATTGTTCCATTCAGGTTGGATGAGGTCAAGCACAGCAGGTGCGTAACGTGAGCTGCAAAGCTTCATTGCAGTCTCACAAGTAACATACTTACTGTGCCTGTAGGATTCAAGGCCCAAAATAGTAGCTTCAAATATTTTATGTACGAGTGTAAATTGAATCTAGATATATGCTACAAGACCACCAAGCACATGATGTTCCAAGAAAAATTTGAAAACTAGAGTTGAGTGCAAATTGTCTATACCAGTCATGCATAACTCCCATAAGCCCCCGATCATAAATAATGGGCAAGGTGTTGAATCCACTAACAGGAACAACATTCATAACCCAGCAATCAATCTGCAGATCATGTAATGCTGCTGCAAACCTGCCAGAGTCATAAACAAAAATTACAAAATAATGCAATATATTTTTACCATTCTTTTCAAAATAAAAAGCATTCTAAAATCAGAAAACGCTATGCGGTAGCATGATATATAAGATGTTACCCTCCAAGTCCAGCTCTCATGTCCATCACATTACGTAGTTTCATATCTTTCCAGCGAAACGCACGTACATAACTGTCTATTATTTCATTCCAATACTTTGACTCTGCTCTAAAGATTTCCTTTCTGGATATGTAGGCATCCATTTCTATGCTTTGGAGCCTGTCAGGTGGATAATGAAGACGTGCAGGCCATGTGCTAACATTAGAACCAAAACCATTATCTGGCAATTGAGTGATGCAGGCCTTCAAATCAACATACCTGCAAATATCATAATGCAATTTGTTGAGCTGTTCAACTTTAGCTAGTTAAGTCTCATTGAGCTTTTCTGCCAAATCGAAGTTTAAAGGAGTAGAGAATATGAGCAAAAAAAGGCAACAAGAAAGCACCCAGCTACAAATACTCCTTAAAAAAGAACATCATTCAAGTTTGTCAGAGACTATGGCTTTTCTCTTCCAGCATCGTTATTTACTTATTTGGAAGAGACATAGCAAACTAATGGAATTAATTCTCCTACCCCCCACTCCCCCAACTTCCCACTGTCTCAACTTTTTAATCAACAAGTCCTAACAAGTATCTATATAAACATTGTCTGAACTTTTTAAGCAGTTTTCCATGATCTGAAGAGCAATTTTTGCAGAATATTGCAGGATAATGAGTCCCAAAGATTGGTCCAGCACTAAATATGTTGAAATCATTTATGTAAAGTTTTCAATGTCATGTAAATGTGGTAAAGATATATGTATTGAAGCAAGCCATACCAAACATTGTCTGAATTATCATTGGGATCACAAAGGGGAGGTAGCACTCCTGTATCACGATTAAGATAGCAGCTATTGTTTAAAGGCTTCCGCCATATGGCAATATATCCATCCTTTTTGACAAGTTCCCAACAAATGCGAGTAGTAAGATCCTCCATTTCTGTAGATTTATCAACTTACAAATGAAACTGAGCAACTGTAAGGTATCAATTTCTTAGTGCTGCAGTATTATTGAACACAAGAATAGTTCATCAAGGTCTTATACATGCATTCATACCAGAGAATTTTTTTTTCTTTTTCTATTTTTTTGTCTCTTTAAAAAGGATTAATCAATGCAAAGAATTTGAAGCATCTAAAAACCGTATCAGGATTTCAAGCACCATTAAAAAATGAAGTGAGGGAGGGAGGGCAAGAGAGAAGGCTGTAAAAAACTTGACATGAGAGGCTACCTTTCCATTGCTCTTGTAGAATCTCTTCATGTTTATATACAGGCTGCGCAGCCCAGACAAAATATCCTCCAGCCCTTAGCATCCTGTTGGCCTCAAGAAGCAAAATTCCATCTTCATCATAGGCAAAAATAAAAAGAAGCATCAACATCAAAGAGTTAAGGTCAATATGCAGCACACATATACACATACGCGCATAATAAAATTCATAACTTACTGAGCACGCAAATTAAAACATGAGCACATACAGATACACACCTGCACACATGCAATCCTAAACACTGAAAGATTTAGAAAGGCTCAAATAGCCACACTGGAATGCTGTAGGATGAATTTAAAGTTTATTATCAGGTTTTAATAGTCAAATATAGACAGCTGAATCTCAATCTCATGCCAATAGTTACTTTTCAAATATTGCAAGATGTAGTTGCTTTTTACTATCAGATATGTAAAAGAAAAAAAAGCATACCATCGCTAGTCCAATTGATTCTACATCTTGAACAATGTATCAAGTCAAAAGCCTGACTTGGATATAACAAGCGATGCGTAGCGAATACCGCAACCATGGCAGGCACTCCGCGCTCTAGTGCAAATTGAATTTGGTTCTCATGAACATCTTTTGGTGCTATTGATAGAGTGGTGACATTGCGTTGTAGAAGAAAGGCTCCAAAACTGGCAACACCACAACCAATATCTAATGCAACACGGATACGGTGGCCAAAAGAAATTTCAGGAACCATCTGCATATGGAGAGATGGTTATCAATGCCATGCAAAAAACAAATACTACTAGCAAGTAGAGGTTGTCAAAAGCAGAAAAACCTGTGAAATCTGATTCAAGTATTGATCTGCACCATGTATAAACTGTGTTCCACCTCCTGGAAAAATGAACTTATCTTTTTTTATCGATATCCAATTTTGCCCACCTTTATCTTGAACCAGACGAGTATGCGGCACATTGCTGAACCAAACCTGCAATTATAAGTCACAATTAGCCAAAAGAACCTTCAATGAAAATTTTCACAAGGAAAAATAGTTACTTTGGGATAGAGCACCAAAGAAGATTTTCATATCCAATCATATTCATTGTAGAAGCACCCAAGCATTTGACTCATTGGTTGGTGGATGAACCCCCTGCCTAAAGAGCAAGGTTTGATTCCTCCTTCCCCCAATTATTAAAAAAAAAAAAAAATCGTATTCATTGTAGAAGCAGAAAGGATAACCAGATAAGCAGATAGCTAATAGAAAATGTTAAAAACTTTAAAACTACAAATTTTTAGATGAGGGATATGACAATTTCATAATGCCTCTGTTCTGGTTAAATAGGAAAATAACAAAACTTAAAATCAAAGTGCAAGTCCAGGTCAAAGTAAAGGTACATCTTCAACAGACAAAAATCTAAGTTGAAGGAAAATTACTGGCATAAGAACTAAGAAGTCAATGGCCATATATATGATGAATTCAAGCAGAATCAAGCATCAATAACAATATCAATTCAGAAGCCAGGGTTGCTTGCTTGCAGGTCAAAACTGACCTTTCTCTACCAATTTCATTGAGCTGTAGCCATCATCTTTCATCAGAACAGTAGTTAATTAATTCCTACGTCAAAAGCTTGGGAGAATGCAAAGACGATTATCTCTTTAATAATCTCAAAGTTCCCAACCACAACAAATCAATCCGCACTGCATCTCTTTTGGGAAAATATGACAGCTAAAAGTAATCTTAGACAACTTCAGCGGCAATCTTGATGCACCTGGGAGATGTTATTACCCAGCCAATGCCAGTACTAACAGAGACTATCCTAATCATTTTTGTACCAAGACTAGTACCCACTTTATGGTAGAAAACTCCACTAAATTTGAAAATAGTGTTGCATAAACATACTGTCCATGAAATGTTTCCTTCTTCATACCATGATCAATCATCCAAGTTCACTAAACCCCTCTTGTCTACCTAGTTCAACTGCAGCTCTTCACGCACGCAGTTGATATCCAACTTCTTAGCTACCCAGGACCAAGCCTTTAACAACATCCTTCACACCCCAAAATAAAAATTACTCAAAACCAGTCTCCAATCAAACTCCCATATACACATTGTTAAAACTATCAAACTTTGCACCCAAACATTTGACTTATTAGTTGATGCAAGATCCCTGCCCAGAAAGCATGGTTCGAAACCCCCTCCCACAATTAAAGCAAAAAAAAAAGAAAACTATCAAACTTTCTTATTAGAAAAACTAATTAATAGCAAATCTAATTTTTGAAAAAAAAAATACAAATCGTAAATAAATTATGAGAATTTCAGATAAAAGCTTACCTCATCACGACTCTGAGGCCACGGTATAGGACTCCGGTACCCTTCCGGCCTCGGAACCACACAATCCAACATTTTATCTTTTCCAGGACAATGCCTCTCGTATTTTTGCCCTTTTTCACTCTCATTAAACAGCTTAATCGCTTCCTCATTATCTAAACACGGTATATAATCAACTTTACTCGCCTCGCACACCTTATATTTATCTACCCTAGTCCTAACTTCACCATTACTCTTCTTCCTCTCCTCTTCCTCCTCTCCTCCTTCGTCGTTGCCGTCACTCAACTCTGTAAAAGCATTCGTGGAGTTCGAGTCTAGCTCCCCGATAAAGAATTCATCCGACATTGCCCCCGATTCGTCGATTATACCCGTCCTCCGAACCGCTGGGGGAGGCGGAGGCGGAGGCGGAGGAGGAGGAGGTGGTGGTGGTGATGGAATTGGAGGGGGTGAAAGCGGAGGCGAAATTGGCGGCGGTAGTGAGGAGTACTTGAAGGAGAAAGAAGAGAGAGGAGAGGAGGAGGAGGAGAAGTGAGTGGCAAGAAAAACGAGGGAAACAGAGAGGAGGGCAATCGCTGTAAACTTAACGAACTTCGGGGTTTTAAGGATATCAGCTATCGTCGTTGACGATGATGCCGTGGCTGTTGTTGTAGTACTGCTAACTGGGGCTGTCGGTTTCATTTTGTTTGTATTCGGGAATTTTCCTTTATTTCATTTTCTGAGGAAAGTGACGGAAAGCCCTGCGAGAAAGAGATGAGAGATTTGCTTTGCAGAGAAACGGTTAAGGCTGCAGAGGAAAATGTGAGGGTACAGGCCTCCGAGGTGGAATTGATTAATAATTAATGTCAGTGGATACGTAGGATAAGGGATGGACAAAAGAAGAAGAAGAATATGGCCAGCTTTCTATGTCACGTGCATTGCGTTCTTGTCTGGGGCCTTTTTCCACCATTTTTTTTAATCCTTCCTTGTATAGTTTTTAAATGTTTTTTTCGCACATGCGAAGTTAATGAATTAAAATGAAACAGACACCAAATTCCAAAATTATTTTAGATTCATAGATTCTTAAATCCAAGTCTCTTGTCTTGGCAATATAAAATATAAAATCTGAGGAATACAAGCTGCTTCAACCCTTACGTCAAGACGTGGATCCGTGGTTTCTTTAATGCCTAGCTAAGATGTCAGTTCGTTCCTTATTATCAATATTATTTATTTAGCATTATTTTACTCAATTACCTACTATTAGGATTTATGGAATTCAAATAATAATTTTAAAGTACTTACTATCTAAATTAGATTATAAATAATAATTTTTAGTTAATTTTATATAAATATATATTTTTTATAATTAATATAATACTTTTTAAAATTAATTAATCTTTCTAAGTATGATTTTAAATTTTATTTTTTATGAATTAATTTTAATTTATTAATTTAATTTTCATTAATAATATATAAAAAATTAATTTTATATTTAATTTAATGGAGTATTTAACCGATATTGATATTTAACAAATAAATGCCTATGATATTTAAATACAAATTCAAGTAATAATTTAAAATTTAAATTAAAATATTTCTAAATTAACAAGTGTCTTACTTATGGCATCCCTACTCCAAGCCCAAGGGACACAAGTACATGGTCACAGCTAGTATGTATCTTTTAGGCCCCCGACATTTGTTGGGCTTAACTTAGCACCCCGTCCAAAACTTTGCAGGCCATATGTCTTTCAGAATTAGGCTTCTTTGAGGAGGAATTTTCAACAGGCCCAAGCCCTGATCTGCAACTGCAAATCTGAACCACTTAAATATGTGCCCACGGGCTTTGAAGATTCACATCATTTTCCCCTTTTCCTCCCACAAAGTGCTTCAAAGTTTCATTGGGCCCAACAGTCTTGTAGACAAAATTCATTCCTGGCACCTAGATTTATTATTTAAGCTAAAACATTTCATTAATAAGAACCCCCACCATTAAAAAGGAGCCAGGAAGTCCAAGGATGGAGTGAGATTAATCCCAAATTTAAACCTAAAGAAAAAAAACAACTGCTGGATGCTGCCTTGATTGATTGTGACCTAATAATTGAGACATTAAAAAAGAAATGATTACATCTTAATCGAGAATAATATAATTTACATAGTTTATTGAGAAACTTGTGAGAGATAATCTTTTTTATAGGTCTAATTCAAAAATATCATTTATTATAATTTTAATTATTTTTAATCAATTTTTGACATGACTTGATAACAATGTTCTTTAAACAATTTCAGACAAATTAAAATGATTTAGATTTTCTCTATCCCGCAATTTAAACAAAAATTTCAAAATTAAATCTTGATTTTTCTCTCTTGTCAAATATTGTCTATCTCTCTTTCTCGCCAAATTAAATCCTCTATCTCTTTTTATCTCTTTTCTCCCTATCCCAAAGAGTAGTAATGGCATCACGATAATTTCTCTATTGTTATGAATATTTTTGTGAATATCCATTTATATTATCTATATCTAGATTTGATGTAAATTAGATTAGATTAGGATATAATCCATCTATTCTCTAAGTGTTATTTTCATTTTGTAAAAGGGTTATTTATCTATAAATAAGCCTCCTTAGTTCATTTGTATACACACTTCAATAAGATTTATTTTCTCTCCCTAAATACTTTCTTTCCCTTTAAATACTTTTTCTTATATTTCTCTTATAGTTGTTCTTTTATATTTATTTCATAGCACGTTATCAACACGATTTTCTGATCTCTTATGTTTTAGAATTATTATGTTTTCATTATCTTCAAGCTTAAAAAAGATTTCAATTTTCAAGCTTCAAAAAGATTTCAATGATGGGGTTTTTGATTTCTGGTTTTAAAGAAAATCAGGTAAGTGACTAAGTGACTTGAAATCTCTTTAGTATTTCTATTCTCTTAAAATCAATTTTAATATGAATTTTATTATTATACATTATATTTTATCTCTTGATTGGAAAGTGAATTTGCTATTATATAGCTATTGATGAAAAACCATGAATGTCCATTCCCGGAAGTGAATGTGACAAATAAGCTATTAATAAAAATTATGAATGTTCATTCCCTGTAGTGAATGTGATAAACGAGATACTAATAAAAATATTATAAATTCGTCCATTCCCTGAAGTGAATGCGACATCATTTAATAATTATTGTCATAATCATGAATCCATCCATCCCTTGAAGTGAATACAATATCATTTAATTATGATGGCCATACAAATTTACACTATCACTATTTTAATTATTATTCTACTACCAGAAGTGGATGAATATTTTATCATCTGAATTTAAGAATAATTTTACCACTAGAAGTGGATAGATAATTTTATTATAAAAAATAAATGAATGCCTATAATCCACTAGAAGTGGATAACCCATCATATGTGGATCATCCACCAAAAGTGGATGTATAATTATAACCTACCATAAATAGATGAATAATTTTAACGCACCAAACGTAGATGGATACCTTAACCCACTAGCCCACCAAGAAATGAATGAATACTTATAACCCACCAGAAATGGATATTGTTATTGATGTTGCCAGACAGATCATTGGTCACGTACCTGTTGTACGTCTTAAATTTTATCAAGTATCACTGAAAATTGAAACATCTTGAGATAATTTTAATCATGGCCAAGTTGATATATCACATCAAGATATTTATCTAACTTGAAAGAGGATTTATTATATGATTGATAATAAATATATCTATTATTGATTTTCTTGTCTTGAAAAAAGAATTGATCATTTGATTGGTAATAGAAATATTTTGAGAATGAACTTAATAATAATTGGTATATTTAGTACAACTATATTATGGAAATGCTTTAATATGTTTTCATTATATTTAAATGATATGTTTTATTTTATGTTTTAATTCTATATTTAATATTCTTTTATATTTACTTGTAAGTTTCTTATTGTATATATTTTATTTTATTGAAGAAAATATAGATATTGATCTTTTGGATCTAAGATCAAGAATGTAAATATATGTCTAGCAGACATTGCTACAACACACACTATATTTAAAAGCAATAAATATTTTTCCTACTCGATAAAAAAAAATCAATGTCAGTTCAATATCTGGTAGTACAAGATTAATTGGAAGCTTCAGAAGAACTAATATTTTACTACCTTGAGGAATAAAGCAACAGAGGATGTATTATTTTTAAGTCTCACAGAAGTTTATTAAATTTTAAAGATATTCATTTGGATGGATATCATATTGAGACAAAGAAAGAAAGAGA